CGTCCAACCCCTCTCCCTGCCATGGCCATCATAAACAGGTAAAAAATTTTAGTAATGACAATCTCATCGCCTTTCTTATCCAAACTTGCTGTTTATTCATGTTATTTTAAGTTTTTCCTAATCCCTATTTACACTACCATATTTTCATATCCGAACTTCCTGTTTATTTTGTCATTTTATTATTTCTACATATTCAATGCGATTGCATAAACAATTATTCGTCACATTATTTATGATCCCAAACATATCTAAACATCCTGTCTATTTTTGTTATTTCTACATTTCTAACCCCCAATTACACAAATGTAAATCTTCTCAGTAATTATGATGCTACTTTGTTTGAGTTTTATCCGTCCCCCACCTGTTTATCATGGCATTTTAATTCCCAATTGTAATTTTATTAATTTGACCCTTAACCAGAAATTATTCTGGAACTTTCCTACCAATTTGTTATAAATACACGAATGTACAGCCTAGTTGATGACTTCGTCAAGAAGAAAATTTTCTGGGCTGTAGCTGTCTTTTTAACATTTCGAACAATCTGATCACACTCCACGTACTTGCCATAGGAATATATATTCATGAAATTAATAAAGTGCTACGAGGTGAGAAAATAGACTACTTAGGTCTAGTTAAAAGGAGGACATATTGAAGGTGAAAATAACAATGAAGATCGCAAAACCAAATAAAAGAGGTAATAGTACATCTACCCTGGCTGGTATCAAAACAAAGTTTACCGAGGAAGGCTTAGTATAATGACGAATTGTGGCTTAGACTTCCAGCTAGGGCCTCCAAAAACTTCAGGATACACCCCAAACACGTTTTATAGATAGATACGTTTAAAAGACGTGTAAACTTCCATTTTATGTCCTGTCTCTATAATATGTTTGACAATAAAGGAGCTAGATCTCCTGTTCTCACCATTAATGGGTTCTGTTTGCTTCTGAAGCCATCCTCTTAACCCTTTATTAATTTCATACATATTTCTATGACAATTGCGTGTGTGATCAGAATGTTCAAAATGTGTTGCACAAATACGCATTACACGATTCAGATAAATTACGTCTTCTTATTGTTTTGTAATTGACTTTGTAATTATTATCCATTCATCTCCTAGACTGTATGTATATTATTGTTCTCACATTTGCATATCGTACATTGACTTGATCCTTATTATTCGTCTTTGTCCTCGTTTAATCCGCTATTTTAATACTTTTCTTTGTGGTAGTCGTGCGATGCATGATAACGTGTTATTTTACGGTATGATTTTGTTTGACTGAATCAAGGTCATTCTGACATTGAACTGTTTGCGGGAATTGTTGGTGTGAGTGATCCTTACATTCAGAGTTTTGATCTCATCTTCTTGGGAATATTCTACTTGCTTATAAGGTGTATTTATTACAGTTGAATTTTGGTTAACTAATTTTGTTCTACATTAGTTATTTTGTACACAGAAAATTACCTTCAGTGTATAGCTGTCTAGTGACACCGTTGAGGTAATTTTGAGTTTCTGGTGAAAATATTGTTGTTGAAAAGAATCACATAGATTTACTGACGAATAACCTTTGTTTGATGTCTTTGAAGTGCTTTTTGACTGTACGAAGTTTCAGACATATAAACAGTAGGACGCACAGATCGGTTCCCTAAGTCCAGACCACAAAGAATCGGTTTTTGTCGTCACAGTTTGACACCGATCACATCAACCATTAGTGGCTGGCTAGCCAGGTCGAAGTGATTTAAACATCGGATGATTGTTTCTCCTGTCTGGGGTTTCGCTCATCAGCGGTGTACCCAGTTTCACCCAATAAAGTTTAAAGACTATTGAAAAAGTTGTTTTCATTTTTTATTCCATATCTGGAAAAATTTAATGGTGTACACTTACAAAGCCATAGGTTTGTAATTTTAAACATAAGAATTTCTACTTTAATGGTAAGCCAAAAAAATCAGAATTCAGGCATCCATTTTTTACAGATTCTGTTAACTTATCCTACAATGTAGAATGATTGTTACTCTAATTTTGGACATTCGAATCCCTTGTACACAAAACAGTTTCCTATTCTTTTTACACAGTTGATGGTGTTATGCTAAGCTATTTCCACAAATGAGAATGTAAACGGACTGCAGTATGGATACATTTATTCAACATGACCCACCTTTCTTGTATATTTAAAGAACAGGTGCCTGATTAATAGTTACTTTGTATGCATTGATGGCATAAGACAAATGACTAAGCCATTCAAGCATTCAGGATTAATAACGAAGAAGAATTAAGACATATTGATGTAAACAGGATGACTACGCACCCCGTTTGGAGTCACTCTTGAAGTTTTATCTGTACGAAAACCTCAAGTTTCGTTATGAGCCACTACATTATGAGTCAGGAGGTGCGAATTTCAGGAAGCATAGCTGGATTGTTGGAAATCTAGGGGAAACACTTTATTTCTGATAAACGTCTATTCTCCAGCAGTACTACATTGCCTTAGACTTCTAACATTGTATAAACCATTTACACTATGTTGGAAACTGCTTTTAGTCTAAACGTTATCCAATGAACTTTTCAGGCATAGTGGGATTTGCAGAAACACTGGTTCCAGCCACTTCAGCTTTTTGTGTCACTGTGACATGCCAGCCTGACCAACACGTCAAGGAATTAACCTTTATATGTTACGACAAACAAGTTGGCAAGGGTATCACAATTATATCCCTCTTAGTTTAATTGCTTCTGTCCATACTAAACAAAATATTAAATCATGTCATCCTGGAGAAACTGAAAGATGCGCCGGATGCAAAACTTCGCCCTGAACAAGCTGAGCTCAGGAGAAGCTAATCATGTGCAATCCTATACATCATCATTGAATGGAGAATTGAATGTCAGCCAAATATCCACCTCCTCAACTGAGAAGTGACTTGGAAACTGTTTCAACACTACGCAGTACTTCAAACCTTTGTAAACTTCATTCTTCAACAGCTGTATCATGATGCCACATGCTAAATGATTCACGATAGAAAGCTCTTTTTTTCATTCCTTCACGTTCCCAGTGGAACATAGGCCTTCAAGCTAAAAGGCTTGAAGTTTCTGTAGCAGTGTTTATTTTTACAGGATGGGGTTGCTAGCCTTATGTCCAACCTTTCCTCTTTACCAGCTTTTTATTACTGAAGTGGCGAGGTAAAGGAGTGCGTCGGTTGGGGATCGAACCCCGGCGAGCATTCTACCGCTGTGCCACCGACGTACATGGAAAGCTCAGTGAAGGCATTTAAATAAAGATAGAAGTATAACAAGGCTGACTACTACCACCGGGAGTCTACCCGGAAGTCTGCATCTCCCTACCTGACTCAGTTTAACTGTCAGGGATTTCATGGATTGATGAGGCCATGTTTTTGTTTGGCCACCACTTACTCTTTTCCAACCTGCACCGATATCAGCTAGTAATGCCCGCCGGGGGAGGCGATGGCTAGGCATGCGCAGCACGTGACCTAACCATCTCAATCTATGTAACTTCATAGCCTCTTCGATTGATTTTCCCTCTTTGCCCAACACTCAACGCCTAACGTCAACATTACTTACCTTATTATATCACCTAACATGAGAAAGAGATCGTAAACATCTGTGGTCAAAAACAGACAATCTCTTCATGTCTTCCGCTCTCAATGGCCACGTCTCACCGCCATAGAGAAGGACGGAGCGAACTGATGAGCAGTATATACGTCCCTTGGTTGATAGCCGAATGTCACGCCTACGCCAGAGACGGTGTAAGTTAGCGAAAGCAGCCCGATCTTTTTGGATCCGTGCTGAGATTTCGTCACCAATCAATCCGTTGGTGCTGATACAACTTCCCAAATAGGTGAAGTGGTCAACATGTTCTATCACTTCACTCCCTATCACTAAGCTAGGAGTTGACGTAGTCCAGTCCTGTGGCAGCATCTTACATTTTACATGGACGAATCGCATGCCAAACATACGAAGATTGCTGCTCAAGGTGTTCAGAAAACTCTGCATTTCGTCAGCATTCTCTCCTAACAGGACTATGTCGTCTTCATATTCTAAGTCCATAAGACTATTCCCTGGTAACAAGTCGATTCTTAAGTCGTTGGGTAGACAAGGAGACTCCAGAAGATTTAAACTCCGCATATTACTTATCTCTGTTGTCATACAAACTCAAAGACCTACTGGTGAAGATCAAAAATTAAGCAGAAGAAGCACAGAAGACAGGACTACAAGTGAATATAGAGGGGATAGAGGTGATGAAGTTAACTGAAGACCAACAACAAGCACCAAACACTTCTAACGGGAGAAATTCGAAGAAAGTTGTCCCATTCACTTATCTAGGTAGCATTGTTTCAACTAAAAACGACGCAGATGAGGATTTCGAAGCCAGGCAGGATAGGGAAAGTAATACAGATATTCATTATCCTGAAATCAATGTGGAAATCTACCAGACTTCGTATAAGGAACGAGATCCAAACCTTCAGCACTAATGCCAAGTCACTCGGTGATTTCATATGGTTCAGGGATTTGGGAAGCGCGTCATCAACAGTATTTCCAACGCCCTGCTGTACACGTTCATTAATAGCTGTCTTAGCTAGATGATAATGAAAATCAGATAGCTGGTCAGAAAGTGTAATCAAGAACGAATTCTGGGAATGAACCAACCAACAACCTTTCACCTAACAAAACTGAGATGGATCAAACGTAGACTAATGAAACAACTGAGTGAAAATACGCATCAGGCCGTCGAGGGGAACCCTAATGAGAAACGTGGAGTTGGGTATCGCTTCCAGTGTCACATGGAGAAGAAAGTGTGAGGAGAAGGAGGAGATGACAGCCTACAGAAAATCGTTGAACAGACTAGAGTGAAATCGCGATATTCTGTTGAAGCTCTGTGTTCCACTGGGAAAACTATATCACCATCCAGTGTAAAGCCACATTCTCATTTCCTAACAGATATATACTACGTAAATCATTTGATTCACAAACAACAACAGCAATGCAAAATTCTTACCTTCTTCGAATTTTTCTAATATGATCTAACGAATTCATTGGATGATCACGATAATGAATATAGGAAGAGCTGGATGATTTTAACAAGTTTAAAGAACTTCTATAAATTGAAGAATCACAGTTTACATTCAATGCAGACAGAGATGAGATTAGTGATGATGGCGATGGTGATGCTGGTGATGAAGACGATGATGGTGAGGAGGAGGCGGAGGACCAGGAAGAATAGGCGGAAGGCGAGGCAGACGAAGGTGAATGTTTGCCTAATATTGTATCATTTGATAAAAAGATATTGGAATGAATTTTTTGATTACTCACAGGTAGAATACACCATGAATCGATTATGTAACGACGACTTTTAGCCAGCTGGGATAGAGTACAGGCTTTATCAGCCAATGATGGACTAGCTGGATCTAACTGATAACTATTCATTACAGAGATGATTGAATATTTATCGTCATCATTATGTATAATAGTTGTTCTTGTTCTTGTCGCAAACTGTTCATTTGTTTCATAAGTTATTGGTGTTGTACTCATTTCATCATTTGAATGAGAATAATCACTGGAAATTAAGTTTGTAATAAATGGTTCTGTATTTTGTTCATCAATTTCAATAGGTATGGAGGATAAGAGATCTGTTGAATTTTCACAGGGCAATGGGTTAAATAAATTATTGTTTGATGAAAAATTATTATTATTATTTGTTTTATCTGTTTCACGTATGGTTAAAAACTGTTCTTTAATACGACGACATTTACGAGATATTAAATGTTTGCCCGGCTGATGCTTACTTGGATACAATGAATGACGATGACCTAGTGAAACATACAGAAAAGATACAATTAATATAGACAACGAAAACAAGACTTATGTTAGGGAAGTCATGACCAGTAGAGTACAGAAGGTCGAGTGTGAGGAGAAATTCTCGCCAGAGGATGATATCGGCTAGTGGTCGCGCAATATCGTGAGTCGGTAGAAGTTGGAATTCATGGGCTGGCCATTGGACTGGGTCCCAGTGGCTGAATGGTAACTAGAAGACCCTAGGTTCGAACCCTGGTCAGTGGGTGCGTACCGATGAAGGGTCCCAAACTAGGACGAAACAGATGGCTGTCCAGTACTCCCAGATTTTCCAATGGTTCTCTAACCGATATCACCTACAACCAGTCAAATTTCTGTAAACCAACAGTTGAACCTTTACTTTTTTTAATTCCTCTGAGCTCCAAATGGAACACGGAGCAACAGTCTTCAGCTTTGAAGTTGCAGGAGTTGTGGTGTCTATTTTCTACGGAGTGGGGTTGCTAGACCCGCGCTCAACCTCCCGTCTTAACTGGGCGAACTTATAGACCGAGCGAGGATTAGGAGTGCATCGGCTGCGAGTCAAACCACGGACAACGTGAGTGGTTGACGAGTATGCTACCATTGAACCACCGGCACACAGTAATATTAGTATGCTCATACATTAATTATCTTATTTCAAGGGTACGGAATTAAATGGCTGGGGATGTTGCATAAGCCCCACTGAACTGACTACTAACAACACCACACCACAGATACATAAGGCTAGTTTGACATTAGAGAACTTGCGTCATCTATGGTGTAACTTTTTCTTCTGATTATAGCTTGATTCCACACAGTACTTTTTGGTACAAGTATGGAATTTTCAGCATGTGATATCGGTTGCCCAAATTTTGCAGGCCGACCATCGATATCGGGTGTGCGTCGGCGGGGGATCGAACCCCGGACCATGTGCATGGTCGGCAAGAGTCCTAACCACTGTGCTACCAATGCTTGATATCCGACAATCGGTCAAACAAAGTGTATACTACTCAGCAGTCAGCTGTGTCTGTCTTTTTATGACTGTGAGACATGGTTGTTTAGATAAGAAGATATAAAGAAACTAACTGTCTTTAACCGTAGATGTTTGCATTCTATCTCTTGTATTAGACAGTGCAACATGATCAGTAATACTGATGTTAGTAGGGTGTTAGATAAGGAGGGAAAGTCTGTTTATAAGACTATGAGGCTGCACTGATTGAGACAGACGGAACACATATTACGAATGCTAGGCTATTGTCTTCCTCGCCAAGTAATGAACTAATGTAGCACACTAGATGACATACATTAATTGGTTGCAGAATGAAAACCTCATGCATTTATTCCCCTTGATAAATTTGAATAAAGCAAGGACAACAGTGGTCGTTTGTGCAGAATAATATGGTGCCATCATTGCTTATTTCGTTGGCTTCTCATCAGCTGCTTGCATACAGCCTAAATAAATTATGAGATTTATGTACAGAAACGTTTTAGCATACTTGCCAATTTTTCATGATGTCACTTGACAGGAGGTCCCGGAATTAGTGAACAGTGCTCAGAAAATAACGCTTATATAGTTTTTAAACAGGAAGTTCAGGTTTAAACAAAATAAATTTATGCATACAATGGCAAACGAGTTACGTAATAAAGACAAGAGGTATGTAAGATGGTGAGTGACTAATAAATAAGGTAACAATGTATTGAGTTCAACTAAAACCATAGAAACAAGAGACACGCCGAGTTACACTATATCAGAGGGGTGAGGTTAAAGCCGAAGATTACGTAGTCAAATGAAGAAGAGAATAAAGACATCCAGTTACTAGGCCAAGGAAAGACTAATAACTGCTTCTTTCTGAACGCATAAATCTGGTTTCAAGCGTTTGATAGACATTGCTTCGGCAAACTTGAGGAGAATCGAGCTCATTTGTCTATTGATAATTTTAAAGGATTTCGCGATTTCCACCTAATGACCCATATCAAGGAGATATCTGGTAACCAATGTCGACGTGCAAATCTATAAATCTATGTGATCAAAAAGTTGTATCATGACATTAATAAGAACCTTGAAGATTTCTATGTTATTACTAAATGTAAAAAGCCTATCGACAAGGTGGGGTGCTTAAATGTCAGATTGTTAATTTCACTTTTAGACACAAACGTGATTTATATGGAGTGGCTCGTTCCCATAATTTCTGTATCATAGAAGGCACTGAAATGAAACTAAATTCAATGCTGAATATCCTGGAGTATGTCTTTCCTCTGACCTTTCTCGGTTTTCCCCATAATCGCATTATTTTCCAGAAGGATGTTTCATTTAACGTTCTATGTAAGGTAGTTAAGACAATTTGTCATCACTCAGTCTCTACTTTCTAAGTTCGTCAGTTCTTGTATTTTACCCATACTTGTTTACTGCTCTCCCCAACTTAATCCTTCCAAGGCTACTTAAGAAAGACTTTGTTATACTGCGAAGGGCACTAAAAGTCGTCAGTAGGGAGAGTGGGGTGTCGCTAAACTGACTTGTTAATACTGTTGTAGATAGACACATGGACTGATGCAGGAAATTAGCGAATATTATCTTGTCAGATCCTTACCATTCTCTATATAGATAACTCTCTCGTTGTATCCCATATGGTAGAACTAGAAGCAACTATAGAAAACTATATTCTGGGACAACTAAGTATTAAAACTCTACAATACTTTGTTTGGCAGGAACACAATTTTTTCCAACCTGCACCGATATCAGCTAGTAATGCCCGTCCGTCGGGGGAGGCGATGGCTAGGCATGCACAGCACGTGACCTAACCATCTCAATCTATGTAACTTCATAGCCTCTTCGATTGATTTTCCCTCTTTGCCCAACACTCTACGCCTAACGTCAACATTACTTACCTTATTATACCACCTAACGTGAGAAAGAGATCGTAAACATCTGTGGTCAAAAACAGACAATCTCTTCATGTCTTCCGCTCTCAATGGCCACGTCTCACTACCATAGAGAAGGACGGAGCGAACTGATGAGCAGTATACACGTCCCTTGGTTGATAGCCGAATGTCACGCCTACACCAGAGACGGTGTAAGTTAGCGAAAGCAGCCCGAGCTTTCTGGATCCGTGCTGTGATTGATTGGTGACGAAATCACAGCACGGATCCAGAAAGCTCGGGCTGCTTTCGCTAACTTACACCGTCTCTGGCGTAGGCGTGACATTCGGCTATCAACCAAGGGACGTGTATACTGCTCATCAGTTCGCTCCGTCCTTCTCTATGGTAGTGAGACGTGGCCATTGAGAGCGGAAGACATGAAGAGATTGTCTGTTTTTGACCACAGATGTTTACGATCTCTTTCTCACGTTAGGTGGTATAATAAGGTAAGTAATGTTGACGTTAGGCGTAGAGTGTTGGGCAAAGAGGGAAAATCAATCGAAGAGGCTATGAAGTTACATAGATTGAGATGGTTAAGTCACGTGCTGCGCATGCCTAGCCATCGCCTCCCCCGACGGACGGGCATTACTAGCTGATATCGGTGCAGGTTGGAAAAGAGTAAGTGGTGGCCAAACAAAAGCATGGCCTCATCAATCCATGAAATCCCTGACAGTTAAACTGAGTCAGGTAGGGAGGGAGATGCAGACTTCCGGGTTGGGGCCCTCGGGACTCTAAGAATCAATGGCTGGAGACAATAGGTGACATGGCTCAAAATCGTTGTCAATGGCTTACGCAGATGTATTCAGTCTCTTTAACCTTCATATTCCTTTCTACCATTACTCATTCTGTTTCACTTTTATACTTATCTAAATTCTATTGATTCTCTCCTCTCATTTTCCTGTCTACCTTTGTGTGCTATTTGGAACGTGGCAACTCGAACTGCTGCACTTCGGTGCCAAGTTCTATGTTGAATCCAGCAGCAGCAGCAGCAACACAATTTATGTGATGGCAAAAGTGTAAGGCATGAATGACACTAGTAACCTAATGAAAACACTAAGTAAACAGCCATTTTTATTCTTTCTTTCATTATTATTGTATTGTTGGTAATATTTTCGTTTTAATTTTATATTTGTATTCTTATCGGACAATATTATCAGGGTAAATGACCTGTTTGATTATTTCAACCTGTACTGTGTAGAGAGAAAATCAGATGCAATATTGTGCTGTATTGGAAATTCCACACTGTATCAAAAGTACTGTTTGGAATAAAGCTACCATTATTATTATTATTGCTATACGTCGGTGGAACAGCGGTAGAATGCTCGCCAACCACGCCTCATGTGGTCCAGGGTTCGATCCCCGGCCACAGACGCACTTCTCCTTTACCTCGCTAAGTCAGTAATTAGACTGGTAAAGAGGGAAGGTTGGGCCAGATGAGGCTAGCAACTCCATCCCGTAAAAGTAATAAACACCACTGCTACAGAAACTTCAGGCCTCTAGCCTGAAGCCATATGTTCCACTGGGAACGTAAGGGAATAATAAAAAATTATTGTTGGTATTCACTGGCAAGATGAATCTAAAACATTCCACAAAACTAATTTACTTTCAATCATTGCCCACTACATAAATTAAAATAGTCCAACTGCATAAGTTGTCATGCTTAATAAACACAGATATCAGATAAAATTAAGAAGAAAATTAATACAGCAATTCAAGGTAGTTCAGACAATGATGACCAATGTAGGGGAAGCATCTGAACGGACCTCGTCTGAAGACATAATTTTGGGGCTTATTAAGGTGGATTCCAATAGCTTCAGGTATGTATAAAAGACGAACATGTAAGACAAAATTCAGATAACTTTAAAAGTCTTGTTAACAACGATTTTGCGTTCAGTATCTGTCTATAAAATGATGCTTTCTGAGAATTGGCCATCATTGTTTTAGCTATCAATAAATGTCACATGCATTTTCTCAATTTTATTTAAATCTCGAGTTTGATCACTGGCTGATATCAGTTAGAGAATCCCTGGAAAACCGGAGAGTACAGGATAGCTATTTCACCCCAGCTTGCGACTCTTCATCAGTACGCACCCACTAGAGGCTGGTTACAGAACGAAGTTGCTTGGACTTCTAGTGGGAAGCAGTGACCGCTGTGGACCACTATGTGGGGCGTGAAGGCAAATACTCGTCGATGACATTGGCTGGTACCAATCTCACTAAAATCAAGAAGTTAGAATTCACTGACCATTGGATCGCATCCCAGTGACTGAATGGTCTATGACCTCGACTTGTAACCAGCAGGGCCTAGGTTTGAACTTTGTCGGTTGAGTACTGCAGAAGAGTCCCAAAATAGGACGAAATGAAAGTCCAGTACTCCATAGTTTTCCGGGAATCAGAGGAAATCCCGTCGGGATGATGTAAGTCACTGATTATCCCGATAGATATACAAGAAGGGAGACAAGCCTTCCTGTGATAATCATAGGGGGATTAGCTTGACTAATATGGTATCTAAAGTCCTAGACTCAATAATATTGCGTAGACTAAATGGCGCTCGGGAGGCACAAACACGAGAGAACCAGGCAGGCTTTAAACCAAGAAGAATGTGTATTGATCATATATTCACCCTTCGACAGATTCTAGAACATAGGCATTCTTACCGGTATCCAACAATCGTTATATTTCTTGACCTAAAGGCCATCGTTTTCCAATGATCCCGAGTGGAACACTGGGTTCCAAACTTTGAAGTTTCCGTAGCAATGGTGTGTGTTTTCACAACGTTGCTAGTGTCACACGCTTAGTCTTCCGTCTTTCCCAGGCTTACTGCAGGCCGTTAAACTAAGCGAGGTTAAGCAGACTACACTTGCATCAGGATTCAAACCCGAACATCTAGTGTCGCCGGTGAGCACTTTACCACTGAATCACCACCACCCACACACAAAATAAATTAACATTAGAATAATCTAAGAATAAAAATTTACTTTTATAATCTTCATCATCATAATGACGTAATTTAATTGGGAATAATTCATATTCTGAATATGATCGACATTTTTTACTATGATCACACTCTGACAGATTTGTATCCATGCTTTTATTACATGTTCCACGTTGAAGTGTACATAACATATTCGCATCACCATCATCATCATCGCCGTCGTCAGTAGCAGCAGCAGCAGAAGATATAACTGGATGGACATTAGTAGATGAATGTACTAGAATATCTTCTGAGAATAAATTTGAAAAGGTTATATCACCACGGTAAACATCAGTGGGATAAGTGTCGGTCGACTGACAATCAATCCAATTAAGTGGACTAGACTGGGTAACCTAAGAGTTTAGAGAAGAAGGAGAAGAACAAGTGAAGTAGAGATAATATAAGAGTTACTGAAAAGAAATCTGTGTTTTGTTCTTAGTATATTTTTGGAATGTTTTATTTTTTGTTTTATTATAGCTTGATTCCACACAGTATTTTTGGTACAAGTATGGAATTTTCAACATGTGATATCGGTAGCTGAAATTTAGCAGGCCGACCATTGATATCAGGTGTGTGTCGGCAGGGGATCGAACCCCAGACTATGTGCATGGTCGGCGAGTGCCCTAACCTCTGTGCCACCGATGCAGGTGTGAAAACAGATCAGAACATTGCAGAAGTTTAGTCCCTTAGCCTCTCCGAGTTGAGGATGTGCAGCGACTCTGCATATTCGATCTTCGCTACCTCTGTAGGACTCCTTGCGTTCGATAGCATCACCGTGTGAGTAACTTTGAGGTCCGGCGTAGTGTGTTTGGATACAATGGAGATCATCATTCGTTGAGTGTCGTCATCTGAAAACACCGACTTCGGTGGGTTGGTGGATATGGCCTACAAATGTCATCCCAGAGGCTTTCGTACAGGTCTCTGTTCGCTAGGTAGTCCTGGGATGGGATGAAACACGTGGAGAGGTGGTCAGCCTAATATAACGTGGTTAGGTTAGCATTGGTTAGTGCGTCACGACTCCGTGGTTGAAGTCCGAGAGATAGCTCGAATCCGTGGCTCGAAACGTCATCGTATATGGCTAAGAATCGCAGTTATCAATGGCAAAAGTACTGCAATTTCCTTCTTTTTCCATCTCCGACAATAATTGACGAATGTTGTTCGAACTTGTTAAATATGACCGCTTTCCTCCCAGAGGAATGACTTTATCCGTTCTCTATCTATATTTTTACTTTTCACGTCATATGCTGTTTTATTATTATTATTGTGTGGCTCTGTACTGTGCCAAGTTTTTTGTATTTTAAATAAAACAAATAGTTTTTATAAATTTAAACAAAGTAAAAATAAATTTTTGTACAGAATAATAGTATGTGGTCATCATTCATTCGTCGTCGAACTCTCTTCAACTGCTTACAACCCAAAAGTCGATTATGTAAATGTACATAGAATTTTGTCCTTCTTGCAAGCACCAACATGATTCTTGTTAACAGAGACACAGGTGTTAATAAACAATGTTCAAAAGTTCCATTTATATAAGTTATGAAGGAAGTCAAGGTACAAACAAAATCAAAAACTTACAAAACTAAGGGTCGGATAAATTGAAAACTGAGTTGCACAGTCAAGACGGGTGGAGAGAAGTTGATGATGAGTAATAGTGTGGTGATTCTAACTCAAGTCATAGAACTGAATTACACTAAAGCGAAAATGAGGTTGGGGGGGGTAATAGCAAGACATTATGTAATGAATTAAGACAAAGAGATTAGGTGTCGAGTCCCCAAGGCAAAGAAAGACTAATAAATGAATCTCTCTGAACACATAATTAAGGTTTTAAAAGTTTGATAGCGGTTGCTTCAGCGAATTTGAGGAGAGGAGAGCTATGTTGTCTATTAATAAGCCTGAAGGATTTCCTGTCAGGTTGTCCACCCCATGATCCGTATCAACAAGATACCTACCAGTAGCATTTGTTACCTTGAACTTAAACTTTTTGGTACATGTTCAGAGACCACCAACTAATGTCATCGGCGGTAGCTCCATCCTCACTACCGACTAAATGGACCCCACTGGTCATGCTAAAATCACTATTTGGTAGAAGTTAGAAGTCATGGACTGGCCATTGAATCGGTTCCCAGTGGCTGAATGGTATACGAGCTTGCCTTGTAACTGGAAAGTCCTGGGTTCGAAACCCAGTGGGTGCGTACTGCCGATGAAACAGCTGTCCAGTACTCCTTGATGATTTTCAGTGGTTCTCTAACTGATATCAATCCATGGTTTAATCTGGAACATGTTTAGAGAATCTGAGATATACCATTCTTTCCGTTCTCCCGCTGTAACTGCTCCTGCATATATACCTAAATCTATATACATAGTCATATTTAACATGGAAAGAGTACCTATCAACCTTTGATTTTACCAAATAGTTTGTTGTTCAATAAACTGGAACCAACTTGGCTGAAGGTCACGTTTTGGCTAGAGAGGTTTTCAGTCTTTTGTTGATTATTCCTGAAACATTATCATCTTTAAAATCCAGTGAGATGAAGATAGGCTTCTTATTTACTCTGGTTTGTTTCATCTTTAGACTTTCAGATCTTTCATACGTTTTGACGAATTGCTGAGGTTAACCATTATTTTCACAAACTTTCTCCATGTTTATGGGTTCTTCTTCATGCATTTCTGTGGAACATATTCTTCTGTTTCTGTAAAATAGAGTGCTGACTCGTGCTCGTGTGCATCTGATTGAGCAAAAACTATTGAAATTTAAGTATAGTCTATTCAACTTGGATTTTCAAAATTCACCAAAAAGCATGCGAGATCTGAAAATCTAAAGGCGAAACAAACCATAGTAAATAAGGAACCAGTCTTCATTCAGTACGAAAACACTGGCATTCGAACCTAGGTCCTCCCAGTTACAAGAGGAGCTCGTAGACCATTCAGCCACTGGAACCCAACTCAACAGCCAATCCATGAATTCTGTCTTCTATGAATCGGTGATTATAGCGTGACTGGAACTAGTCAATGTCATCGGTGGCAAGTATTAGTCCTCAACCTTCCAACCGGGAGGAACCTACTGGTAACTACTTCTTACCAGAACTCCAGGCAACTTTGTTCTAACTTTCGAGGACATTGATTTCATGTTTCAATATAGAACTTTGCAGAGAAGTGCAGTAGTTCCAGTTGCTACAATCCATGTAACACAGAAAGGTGGAAAAAAAGAGAGAAAAGGAGATTCGGAAGAACGATATTAGGCAGAAATATAAGGGAGAAAGAATAGTAACAGAGAAAAACAATAGGGCTTAATGGATACGGGAGATCACAAAGAGTGAATGCATCTGCGCAATTGAAAACTATTTCAAGCCACATCACCACCAACAGTCTCCAGCTATTATTATTATTGGTTCTTTGCATTTAGAAGACCCCAACCAGGAAGCCTACACCTGCCTAAATGGTTCAAACTTACTCAAAGATTTCATTACCATGAACTGGCTCTTTTCTAACCTGATCCCATATCAGCTAACATTGCTCATCAAAGAAGGCAATGGCTAGGCAAGCGTAATACTTGTCCCAACCACCTCAATCGATGTAGCCTCACAACCTCATTGACTGATTTACCCTCCTTACCTGACACCCGACGCCTAACCAACTCAATATTACTGACTCTATTAAACCACCTAACGTGGGAGATAGAATGTAGACACCTATGACCAAAGTCAACTGACCAGCGTTTTCATGTCTTCCACTTTCAGTGGCCACCATGTCTTACAGTCATAAAGGAGAACAGAGAGGACAGCTGCTTAGCACATCCTTTGATAGATAACCAGCCGGATACTATTTCTACGCCAGAGATGATACAGTTTGAAAAATGCTACACGAACCTTTTGTTTGACGACGCTTGATGACTTTTAGTGGGAGGATATATTAAGCCAAACCAAAAACAACTCGAAGTGATATGGATTCAATTCTTAGGTATATACACTCCACCTCTTAATTCATTCTTATAGTAGTGACGTTTCCTATGCAAATACTTGAGTCTGATACCTTTGCGTGGCCGACCCACTTGGAATATGGCATTAATTATGGGAATAAGTCAAAACTTGACAACAAAATTCATATAAAGACTTCTGTGAATGCTATTAAACTTTAAGAGGTAGTAGATTAGAATCAGGCAGATAGGTTTTATGACTGTTAGAACTTATAAACGAGGCGCATTCATTAGTGACTACATTGGTAAACGATGAAGGTGAGTCACAGGAAGCCTTTGAGCTACTTAAGAAGGCTTGGAATCCTTACTTGAGGTCTTTGAGACTCCAAAAATAAATTAATGAATGAATGATTAAGTATTTACTGCTCATTATCGCCCAATTTCTGAAAGTCTACACTTTTCCTGGTGCAATTATTCCCTCTTATATAGATATTCTCTATTTTAGTTTGACTGCTCTCCTTTTCGCTACATTTTGTTTACATTTTTAAGGCTTAAACTCATGCTCTTATAAGAATAAATAAGTTAGTTTAGAGATCTCTACTCCTGAACTCTTTAAGTAAAAAGTGTGATCACATGAGGATTTTATAAGCTATACACTTTAAAATAAAAGTGTGCTTTTACCAAATAATAGTGTATACTTCTGGAAACAAACAAGAATAAACTATACAAAAGTTGCAGATATTGAATATTGAGAACTTTTACTAACTTTCAGATAAAATCGAATTCCTGGAAACGCACTAACACAAAGGTTTGAAAAAGATTGAGTAAAGAAAGGGTAAATACATGTGTGAAAGTGATTTCACTGGCTTCCCTGTAACTTGAGATATCTACCAAAAAGCTATATCTGATAGCTTGCCCTATTCAGGTAGGTAGTTGCCTGGGGTTCTAATGGGAACTCGCAACCAGTAGGGTGCAGCAGGTCAGGTGTGAAGACAGTTACTCACCGAAGACATTTTCTAGCGATCGCGCTATGTCGTGAACTGGCAGAAGTTAGAATTCATGGGCCATTGGATCGGGTCCCAGTGTCTTAATGGTCTACGAGCTCGCTTTGTAACCAGAAGGTCCTGGGGTTCGGAATTACTTCCCAGTCAAAAATATCGAAGATCTTTTCAGACTGGATGAAGGTGAATTGAATATTTCACTGCCACTCTATATTCTGTTCAACGGAAATGAGCAGAGTTGCAGTTTCATCGGCACATGATGAGCCTTTCCTGAGTTCAGCTTGTCCTGGCGTCACTTTTGCATCCACAAAATCTGTCAGCCTTCCCAGGATGACATTTTGCTTGACGTGGAGAGGATCATGACTCCTCTGATATTGAATATGTCTTATTTTTGCTTTCACAGTAAATATATGTTATTCTTTGGTACATACCCCAGTACATTTCAATACCACTTGAGAAATACTAATGACTTTACTGAAAATAATGATTGTTTTCTGTTTCTATCGCTACAAGTGCTGCTTACTTAATCTTTCGATGTAACAAGCCTAAGTACAAATACAAGATATTCATCCAAAGGGTTATAAAATACCGAATCTGCGACTCTTTAGACAGCAGTGATTTCTATGATTCAAATAATCAAGAAACATAGAAGTCAGCTTTATATTTAATACGTTCCAAATAACTTCTGGAGCAAAATAAGTCAGTCAGCTAGTTGTGACGTAATATGCTGAATATCAGTCATTTTTCAAATCCTGTAATTCGTTTAATTAAAGTAAGGTATCTCGAGATTGAATAATAGTTTGTTGTTGGCATCAAAAACAGCAACTCTCACTTCTGATATCTGTAAACTTTTAGTACAATATTCACATTGATATCTGCAGAAAAGTTCATTGAGACTGACTCCTAACAATGAGCACACGAAAGTATAGAAACTCGAGAATAATTATTTAGCGAACCTTCTCCGAGTTCTCCTCATGATCAAGAAAACAGAAACATACTTATTTAACATCAACTGCTTTAACAAATTTTGTGACTGGTAACTCATCATCCAATATCGTTTTTTTACAGATTAGTAAAAATTAATTTGATTTCTTTCTCCTCGCCTCTTGTGTGTGAGGTAAGCGAGTACAAAGAAATCGAATTGGCCCATACTAACTCGTAAAAAAAACATAGTGAATGTTTGACCACTGGTCTCAAAAGTTATTAGAACAATTAATGTTATTTAAATACGTTTCTGTAAAACCTTATAATGTACTATTTCTAGGTAACCACTTAGTAACTTGTAAGTTACTAAATGGTAATGAAGTCCCATAGGACTTCATTACAAATAACCTCTGCACATATGTATAACTTCATTGATAACAACCGGTAGTGCAAATGACTTTAACTTAGCTAATTATTTTCAGCGTTAGTAGTAACGTAAATTAGTATTCTGTGGTACATTTTATATGTATGCAAACATTTAAAATTCTAGGCGTTATTTCAATCATAGTGTCAAGAGTAGTTGTAGGTGCAATTCAAGTAACATTTAAATAATATACTTTTGTAAATTACTTATGTAATCACTTGAAACTTACGCAAGGTAGAGTGGCTTTAAGGTCTTCATAAAAAGCCATAGTTGTTGATTGCCCCTATAAATTCCACAATATTACAAAGGTGATTTAAACTCTGTAGTGTTGGAGCTTTAAAATCCTCGGAAATGAATATATTCTGAAGCAGAAAGACACCCTCTCAGAAACTGATGCTCAAGAACCATATTTGTGAACTAAAACGAAACAACGCGCTTACACAAAGGCCATGCTATTTTCAATATCCTGGCGACGAGCTTGAACTATTGAATCTGCTTGTGACTCAAGTTAGACGTTCGGTAGGCACTGAAAACGGTGGTCAAAATAACAATATAATAACAAAATAACATATATCGGGCAAAGTTCAACAACAGTGTCCCAATATGCGCGAACTTTGGAAAGGGAGTGAAATTTACACGCTATTGTTTAATTTTGGCTTTTGTTGTGTTATGCGCTCCTAAAGTCTGCAGATTCACTTTAAATCCGTTTTTTTATTGTCAAAGTTATCTTATGTTTCAGTTTTGAGTCTATTTAACCATAGGAAGTTGTGTTTTTATAACTTGTATATACCCATTTTTGTGCACTTATTTGTTTTTTTTATTATTGATTTATGAAGGTTATATATATGTGAAGTCACAATTAAATCGTTTTGCCCCAATCTGCTCTAAAATGCATGCTGATCAAAAGGAACCTCTGTGGAAGGGTTATGTGCCACTTTCCAGTTGATGAGGGAATGCAGTTTGATAAATAATACTTACCCATGCCTGTACAACTGGTGTGTCCTACATAGATAGGAAATATATATAACTGCGACAGATGGTTTCAAAGCATATACACAAACCTAACTCCTGCAGCATGCAAGCGCTACTGCAAACCTCTGGCGAACTGGCTGTGCAATGACTGCTGTAGGACGACTAAGTTTCGCAAACCGGAAGCCATTGCCCCTCTCAGTGGGGCTCTAAAGCTCATGTACTGCAAGGGTCTTCCACCACAAGAGAAGAGCGACTACTCCTCAGACATCGATGAAGTGACTAGCGTCATCAACAGGACAGTACAAGTTCCTGATGCGTCTCTGTCAATGAGTTGGTGTCCCTCACCGCAGAAGAGCACCCACCGAATTCCAGACACCCATGCTGCCCCCACGATACCGGATAAGCCCTCCAGTGGCAGTAATGGAAAGACTGGCACGAAGAAGAGGTGTGCCAAGGGTCGAAAACCTGCAGCTCAAGTCACCCACGGACTGGTAGATCAAGCCTCGTCCACACCGGTGGATAGCAGGCAGATAAAATCGACAACGATTAGCGAGGAGGACGCCGATGAATTGCACCATGTAGTCTCTCACAAAAAGCGAGACAACGACAACACGTTGGCCACACTGCCCACGAAGGACAGGACATTCACGCCGCAGAGCACGAAAGCCACGGCAAGCAAACCTGATCTCTCTGACAGGTCGCTCGTTGTCCACAAAGTTGAAGAGTTACAGGCCTCCGATCCCAAGGTCAGGTTCGGGCATGACCTCAACTTGGTCGAGCCCCTTTTAGATAAGCTACTGTCAAAAACAGTATCAGGTATAACAATACACAGCTAATGTAGAGTCGAACAGAAGCCTGACCCAGCAGTAAGTCAGCCTGTACGCCTCCTTAAAGGTGTACCAAGCCCACAAGAAGAGAGGGATGCCATTCTAAGCAACTCTGAAGTTCTTAAAGGATCAGCCATATGTGTCCGTGCCGACTTTTGCCTAGCAGACCGTGTCAAAAGACAGTCTGTGGCCCTAGAACTAAGCGAATGACGCCAAAACGGCGGAAAGGACCTTGAGATTAAGGATTTTCGGGTTGTCATAGTTCAAAGTTTGATGATCTTGAAACATGGCTCACACCCAATGACCCTGACAACGAAGTTAACCTGCCAAATTTTGAAATGCGTAGGGTGGACCGACTAAACCACGAAGGAAGTGGAGTAATCATCTACCTCAAGAAATGCTTAGCCGTGCGTAGCATGGAAGCATTCGCTCACAAAAGTGAATCGTGCGGACTTCTACGCTGCATACTTAAATGCATAGGCCAGGATATTGACCTCATCGCTGTATACCGCGGTCCTGACTGAATTGAAGATGACTTCCCAATAGAGCAGCTAGGCTCCTGGACATCAGAAAGTCAAAGTCTCGTAGTCAGCAACTTCAACGCCCCAACAGCCGACTGAGCAAACCTTACAACGCTATCTTCAGACAACTGCTTTGATCATAAACTGCTGGAATCTAGCATTTCGCTAGCCCAACATTTCATGAATCCCGCGCTTTGACTCATAGCACTCCTCCTCAACTTTGGACCTAGTGTTCTCCCATCGTGAGGATGTGGATCTCATACAACATCTACCTCCTTTAGGATGAAGTGATCATACTGCACTCACTTTCAAGTTCACAGCAACAGCATCATGGGCCAAAACTCCAGCTCAATCAAATGTTCGGAAAGCTGATATAAATGCGATTGGCTCAGCAGCCAACTGAGTGAACTGTCGCATCAACCTAGACTCCCAAGTAGAAGCTGCATGGAGCCAATTAAGAAAAATTTACACCCAAATAACTGAACCTTTTATCTCTTGGTCTAACCCAGAGGGTCGGAAACATTTCCCTCTTGGATAAACCGAGAGATTCGTAAGTTACTCCGACGTAAACACAAATGTTGGAACCAGTTTTCCACACTTGAGACTTCTGAGACCAGGAAACTATACAACAGTGCCAGGGATAAAGTTATTGCAGAAATCCGCCAATTAAGGATTAAGTTCAAAGCACATCTGGCTCAGAATGCAACAGCACAACCTAAGAAAATTTTCTCGTACATGAGCTCCGGGAATAAAATATTCAATGGTGTACCAAACCTGATTACTGACAATGACACAACCGAAGAAGATCAAGAAGAAGCGGAAGCAATAGCAGACTACTTCTCCCAATTCTTTACACAGGAGTCATCACTCCCCATAGGATCAGCTCTGACTGCATCATGGGAACACGGGATAGATTTCGTTGACGTCGACCAAGACATCGTGCTCAACTACCTAATCAAAATAGATGCAGTGAAATCCATGGGTGCTGATAATCTTCATCCGAAGGCTTCTCAAGGAGCCAACCGCTCACACAGCCGGCCCTTTGGCCGCGATCTTCAAGCTCTGTCTCCTAAATGGAATGTTACCATGTGACTGGAGAGACGCCATAGCAATCCCCATCCTCAAAGGAGAATCAAGTCAAAGCCCCTCAAATTACAGGCCTATTAGTCTCACCAGCATTTTAATCAAGACACTGGAAAGAATCATCCAGAGAAGTGTCATGGCACATCTGGAAAACAACAGAATGTTATCCAGAGTACAGCACGGCTTCCGAAGAAATTTCTCATGCCTGTCAAATCTCCTCACTGCAAGGGGAAGCTGAGTCAAGTCAAGGGAAAATAGAAGACCCGTTGAGGCCGTCTTCATAGACTTCAGCAATGCCTTCGATAAAGCACCTCACAAAAGACTACTCATGAAGCTGGAAAGTCTTGGTACCAAAGGCAGCTTACTAAAATGGCTTAGGGAATTCCTCACAGACAGGAGGTAGAGGGTTAGGATCAACCTGAAACTCTCCTCTTGGACAGCGGTGCGTAGCGGAGTGCCACAAGGCACGGTACTTGGACCTTTCCCATTTATTTTGTATATCGATGCGTTATCTCTGCTGACAGACTCCCCCATGGTTCTGTACGCAGATGACTTAAAAGATTGGAGAGAGCTGAAGGGCAACAGTGATACGTCCACGTTGCAAGGGGACATCAACAAATTGTCCAGAAAAGGATGCTCCCCATCACTGCAGCAAAATGTGCAACCATGGGCATCGGATAAGCAAGCATCAGCCCCTACGAAATAGATGGAAGAACACCCCGATCTGTTTAGACTCACTTAGACTTAGGTGTCATAGTTAGCCACGATTTAAAAACAACAGCACACTGTCACTCGGTGGCTGCACGTTGTTTCAGGTCCTAATGGGCACTTCGTACAGCCTTTACTAGAATCACCAGAGATATGCTCACCCAATTATATACATCTCTGGTGAGGTCAAAACTAGAAAACTGTATCCAGGCAGCCAGTCCCTGTCTTAAAAGGGACTCACACATTCTAGAAATGGTTCAAATGAAGGCAAAACGTATGGTTAACGGCATGACTGACTTATCATATGAGGTAAGACTAGACAGTTTAAATCTCTTCTCCCTGTCATACCATAAGCAGAGAGGAGATTTAATCACAATTTTAAAAATTTTAAATAATGACTACGGACCTGACCTATTCTCTCTTTTCCTTCCCACCAGGTTGGAACACCTTAGAGGACATAGCGGGGGAGTTCAAAAGCCAAGAAGAAATCATATTGCTGTTGAGTACTGGTCCTCACACCGAGTCATAAACTCTTGGAACCGACTCCCAGAAGAGGTGGTGTCGAGTGATTCATTCAAGAAGAGTTAGACAACCACAGAAATTCAATAGAACAGGATTCACATAGACTCCAAGCCTTCTATCCTCAGCCAATAAATCTGAACATGAACGCAAGAGTGTACTTGAGCTGACCAACCATGAAAATGAGGAATTTCGCTCAAAAGCTGAAGTGCATTCACAAGAAGATTCATGAAGACACGTTAAACAGGGTATCTTTCACTGACGTGACTTAAAAATGAGGAGTATCAGTTGCTAAGTTACACTAGTTTCCGAAGAGACTGAAGATGAACTGTTTTTGTGAATCTTTTATTTACAATAATAATTTATATTTCGCATGAACAGGTAGGTTTACAAGAAATGCATGCCATTTTTACAGGCACGACAAGTAATGTTATAAATTACAATCCTGAAGTATCAAAAATTAATACTTTTTCAAAAGTTTAAATTGTTCAATTATTGTACAAGCAATCAGAACAGGTTCTGTGGTTAATGATTGCAGGTATGGAACTAGAGAAACACTTGTACAAGATTTATAACAAAGATAGATTGTGTGAAACGAGTCACGGTAAAATGTAACGCAAACGTTGAACGGACTGCGTTGTATTGCCGTAGAAGAGTTAGAAAGCCAAAGCAGAATAAGGAGTGGATGGAAAAGAGGAAAGGACAAAGAAACTATGATTTGTTTACTTGCCATTTAATGCTGTTTGTGGCGTAACGTTTTATTCTAGAGACTAGCCTGAACTATACTGAGCAAACATGTTTTGCTCGGTGGATAACCAATAACTCGAACGAGGAATA